GATGCCTGAGGCTCAGGAGGCGTTTGACAAACTTAAAGTTCTCCTAACAAAGGGCCCGATTCTGGTCCCGACGGCTATGGGAGAGCCGCTCCTACTCTACGTCGCAGCTACGACTTAGGTGGTCAACGCCGCCTTGGTTGTAGAACGGGGAGGAGAGGGACACACCCTCAAGGTACAGCGCCCCGTGTACGCCAGATCCAGAAGCTCCTATACGCCATCCTGATCACCAAGAGGAAGCTGTGCCACTACTTCGACTCAACAGGTGACTGTCGTGTCATCTTTCCCCCTCGGCGAGGTTATCCAGAATCGGGAAGCCACGGGGAGAATCGCGAAATGGGCGCTCGAGCTGATGGATCAGGGTGTCACGTATGCCCCACGAACGACCATCAAGTCTCAGGTACTGGCTGACTTTGTGGCCGAATAGACCGAGATCTAGATGCCGCCGGCGGCCGTCGACCAGGAGCATTGGACGATGTACTTCGATGGATCACTGATGAAGAAGGGCGCCGGGGTTGGGTTAGTTTTCGTTTCCCCCCTCGGGGTGCGCATGAGGTACGCAATTCGCATCCACTTGACCTAAGTTTAATTTCTCTACTAATAGCCCATTGGAGATGCTCAAGTCATTGGATATTGTAATCTTACCAAGCCCCTTGACCTTGCCTTTGCCATTATCACCAAATGTTATGCTCTCTACCCCATCAATGTCATTTGTGTTGATTGAGCTGAACATACTTGAGCTACCGGTCATGTGCTGAGTGCACCCACTATCAAGCATCCAATGCCTTCCTCCGGCTTTATAATTTACCTACAAAAGGAAATCAATTCTTCTTAGGTACCCAAACTTGCGTGGGTCCTACAAAGTTAGTGACCAAAGACTTAGGCACCCAAATAGCTTTCTTCTTTGAGCTCTCATGGGGTGAACCTATGAATTTGGCCTTTACACCATGTGAATCCTTTGTAAGCATGTAACAAGAATCAAATCTAATTGAGGATACTTTGGCTAGCTTGATCTTGTTCTTGTTATTGCTCTTGCAATATTGCTCTATGTGCCCAACTTGCTTGCATCTAGAGCAAAACCGACCATTGCCCTTCACAAAGCTAGGCTTTGGAGTTACAAAGGTCGCCTTGCCTTTCTTGGGGTTATAGCCAAGTCCCTCTTTGTTAAGGGAAAACCTTTGGCTACCCAAGCACTTAAGCAAGCGGGCATCTCCATCATAGGCATTGCCTAAGGCAAGAGTGAGCTTATTGACCTTCTTTTTCAAGGTCTCATTCTCCACCATTAGTGAGGTATCACAAGTGAGACCATCACTAGAAGTAGATGTAGGAGTGGAGGTGCTACATGAAGAGTTAGTAGGAGCAATAATTATAGGTTCAATTAAGGATTCATTAAGGAGATCACAAGTTGAACCTTGGTCACATGTTGGAACAACCTCCTTGCTTTGCTCAAGGAGAGAGGAGTGAGCTTGTTCTAGCTTCTTGTGAGCTTTGCCAAGCTTCTCATGGACTTCCATTAGTCTCTCATGAGATGCATTGAGCTCATCAAAGGATTGCTCAAGGGATTGTTTCTCCTTGTTCAATTCTTTGCACTCCTTCCTCTTTGTCTCAAAACAAGTGTGGACTTGTTCCAACATGTCCATAAGCTCCTCTCGAGATGACTCCTCACCATCACTATCATCATCCTCACCATCGGATTGTACCTTGGTTGGCTTAGCCATGAAGCATGAAGGATGATCAAATATGGATGGCTTTTTGGAGATGGCAAGACTTGCATGACCCCTCTTCTTGATGGTCTTGTCATCATCATCATCATCACTTGAAGAAGCCTCACTATCCCAAGTGGCCACATATGAGTTGCCCTTCTTCTTGAATGTGACCTTCTCCTTCTTTTCTTTCTTGTCCTTCTTGCTCTTCTTGTTGTCATCATCATTGTCACTATTGTAGGGACAATCGGCAATGACATGATCTTCACTCTTGCACTTGTAGCATCTCCTCACATATTCCTTGTTCTTCATGTAATCTCTTCTCTTTCTTGCACCATAGCCTTTCTTCTTCATGAATTTTCCCATCTTGCGCACAAGGGCCATAGCTTCATCATCAATGTCACTTGCATCCTCATCATCACTTGGCTCTTCCATCTTGGCTTTGCCCTTGCTCTTTGATGATGAGGTGGCTTTGAATGCCACACTCTTCTTCTTGTCCTCTTCTTGATTCTTCTCTTCACTTGCATTGTTGAAGGCTTCTTCGGTCATGATCTCACCAAACACTTGATTTGGTGTGATTTCCTTCAATCCTCCTCTCACAATGAGTTGAACCAAGGACTTGTAGCTTGTGGGTAGGCATCTCAAGAATCGAGTGGAGAAATCTTCATCATTAACTTTTTCACCTAAGCTCTTTAGATCATTGACAATAGTTTGGAGCCTAAAGAACATCTCCGAAATGCTCTCATCCTCCTTCATCTTGAAGCTTGTGAACTTGTCCTTGAGCATATAGAGCTTGGCATTCTTGACTTGAGTGGTGCCCTCATAGGTTTCTTCCAACCTCTTCCACACATCATTTGCCTTGTCAAGATCCTTGATTTGCTCAAACACTTTTGAATCAATGGCACTATATACGGTATTGATTGCCATGGTGTTGCATTGCTTGTTTGCTCGCTCTCTTGGAGTTGGGTTGGCTTCATAAAAAATGACATAGTCGGTCTCAACCACACTCCATACCTCATCATGAATTGAACCCAAATACATTCTCATCTTTCTTTTCTAATGATCAAAATTGATGCCCTCAAAGAAAGGTGGTTTGCCCCCCACATGGTTGAACACAATTTGAGCCATTGCTTAGCACCGAAGGTTGTTAAGCCTTGATTCTACGGTGACCACGGCTCTGATACCACTTGAAAGGTCCTAGTTGGCTAGAGGGGGGTGCATAGCCTAAAATAAAACTCTATAAAATCGCTAGAGCAATTGGTTAGTACAACAAAAAGCGATAAGAGCGGTTGCACTAGCTCTAGTGGTCAAGCAAGCCACCTATTTGCAATTCTAGTATATTAAGATCACTAGGCACACAAGAGCTATGTCTCTACTTCTACACCTAGGTGAGCAAGCTAAATAACTAGTTACAACTAAGAGCTACAAGCTAAAAACCACTACACAAGTATATGAGCAAGTAATACAAGAGTGGTAGAGAATGTTACCAATGCCGGGCAAGAGATGAATATTAATCAATATGAAATCCAATGAACCAATAGGAGACAAAGAGACAAAGATTTTTCTCTCGAGGTTCACTTGCTTGCCGGCAAGCTAATCCCCGTTGTGTCGACCAACACTTGGTGGTTCGGTGGCTAATAGGTATCACACACCTAGCTCATTCACAAAAGCGCCACAAGAACCTACCACAAGTGAGGTAGCTCAATGACACGAGCAATTTACTAAGGCTACCTTGTGGCTCTTCGCCGAGGAAAGTGCTAGCCCCTCACAAATCACCGAAGCCGGCCACGAACAATCACCAACACATGTCGGACCTCCTCCGCTGCTCCAAGCCGTCTAGGTGGCGGCAACCACCAAGAGTAACAAGAAATCCGGAGCAAAACGATCTCCAAGTGCCTCTAAATGCAAACACTCAAGCAATGCACTTGGAATCACTTAATCTCACTTTGGATTAGCAACCAAGCAAGGGAGATGAGTGGGAGGAGTGCTTGTTAGCTCACAAGTATATGTCAATAACCAGGTTAGCCAAGCGAGTGAGCTAGAAACACCCCACACCCTTAAATAGCCCCACTCAAGAAAATAGCCGTTGGTGTCTGCGAGCCGTTCGGACCGGGCCCGGACCGCCGTCCGGACCAATTACTCCCGGTCCGGACGCTCACACCGGCCAGCCAGAGAACGCCACGTGTCCCGTTCAAACGAAGTAGCCGTTACGCGCGCGGGAGATCAACGTCCAGACTGAGTCCGGTTGATTGTCCGGACCAATCGCTCTGAGTCCGGTTCAAGCAGTTTCATACAACGTTCGGACCATGGTCCGGACCCATGAACAGTGCTTGGTCCGGACCAATACTTCTTGGTCCGGACGCTCTGAAAACTTACTCAGAGAGCTCGCCGAGGGCGAATTCCGTCCGGACTCTGGTCCGGACCAACCGTCCGGACCAATTTCCGCGAGTTTGGACGCTACTCAGAGTGAGACAGAGAGTGACCAGAGAGCTCCGGTCGTCCGGACTCTAGTCCGGATGCACCGTCCGGACTATAACTCCCCAGTCCGAATCACGTCCAGCTGACACATCACTCTGCTGAGGCTAGGGTTAGCTTCCGGACTGAGAGCCAATGGTCTGGACCACCTGGAACCCTCGGTCCGGAGCCAGAGTCCGGAGCACCTTTCTCAGCAGATTTCGCCTCCTTTCTTCTCCCCTTGATCTCATGTGCTAACACCAATGTGTTCCATCACTTGTGCCCGTGTGTTTAGCATTTTCCAAATCATTTTCAAGGGTTAGCTTAATTAGCTCACTAGGTCCTAATGCATATGCTCAAATGAAATGACCTAGAGGCACTTGATTACCGTTTTAACCTCGTTTTCTCCTCTTAATAGTACGACTATCGATCCTAAGTCACTCACACCCTCTATGGTGTCTTGAGTGTAAACCAAAAATGGTTCCTATCAATATACCTTTGCCTTGAATCCATTTTTGTTTTTCTCCTTTTCCAAATGGGAGGCACTTGATCCATCTTTTGGTCATCACTTCCACCACGATCGACATCTAGCTCCTCACTTGGAATGGACCACCTTGACTAATGTACACACTTAGATACAAGGTTAGTCCAATAGGTTTCATCAATTATCCAAAACCAAACTTGGGCTCTCACCGCCGCCGGCGGCCACTCGCCTCCCCGAAGGCACCAAAGCCAACGCCGCCTCCTCGGGCGAAACCCGCCGCTCGGGCGCACACTCTGTCTCGCCCTAGCGTTGCCGCTCAGGAAGGCTGAGGAAGAGCAGCCGCAGCCGCCGCCGCCGTAGCTATGTCGGGGGAAAGAAATGATGTCTCTAATGAAGATGTAACAGGTTTGTTCACTTTTTCAGTTAAAGAGCAGGTCGCGCACCTGTTATGAAAGCCTGTTGTAGCTGAAGGCAGCTGATGTCACTGAAGCCATACCTATTGACATGAGTCAACGGAAAACAGCTGCTCTTGCTAAGGCACGCGTGCATGTGCCTAGAGGAACACAATTAGATGCTGAAATTGGATCTTTGCTAGATGGATCTTTGCTAGAGGGATGCAACAGTAGAGCGGACCAAATTGGAGTGAAAAGTTTGTACTCTCAGCATGTTCTGCAAAAGCTTGATTCGTCGGGACAGCATGCTATACTTGACTTTCATGATCATTCAGTTGCTGAAGATGTTTTTGTCAAATGCTTCAAGCCAACAGGATATATGGATTCCTCTGTAATGTCCGCTCAGTTTATGTTGTGGAAATTTGAATGGAAGGCTGAGAAGAAGCCATATATTATTGTTTCAGAAGGGAATGGGAACACTTTGGAACTAAATCTGTCTGACATTCTGAAGAAAGAACTTGATGGAAGCATAGAGGGCACCGGTCAGGTTTTTGTGCCTATCCAAGATCCAGATCAGAATCACTGGTTCCTGCTGGTGATAGACATTGAGGGAAAATGTGGTTGGGTACTGAACTCCAACGCACGTCACAGTGTATACTATCGCACAATGGGTGTGTTTGAAGCAGCGTGTAGTTGTTTGCTGGAGATGGGTGTACAGACATCTTTGTGGCCTTTGTCATTCATGCGTGGTCTTGCAGTTCAAGAGCACGAGTAAGTCTTGTACTTCTCCATTATCTTTTACTAGTATAATATCACAATTTTTTTGCAGTCGCCTCTTTTACCTATGATTTTCCATGCTATGAAGCTTCTCATGAATATAATTTTGTTTTTAGTTTTAAGGAACAATAGAACAATATCCTAGAATTAGTATAAGTTGCTCATCAGCCACCCCATATCCAGCCTAAGTACAATATAGAAAGCTTCACTAGCAGCCATTTGAGACCACTTGATCACACAAAGGATGCCCACAAAAACCATAAACACATACGCACGTCTACAACTCTGGTATGATCTAACCGAAGTGCAAGCACATTTAACTGAGCTATGCCGAACGGAGCGATGCTGAGCGAGGCGGCATGGTGTAGCAGTCGGGCGGGACAGGAAAGAGAAGGGGTCTGGGGGGCGGTTGCCAGGCGGCGCAGCGAGGCGTCGCCGCATTGGTGGCGGAGCAGGGGGCGTCTAGGCGAGATGAGGAGGGGCGGGGCTGGGCGGGATGGTGGCTAGGCGTGACGGCAAGGAGCGAGGGGTGTGCGGCGGCGGACACGTAAGGCTAGAGGGAGCGTGAGGCGAGGCGGTGACGTGCGACTGAGCAGCTGGCCCACATGTCGGTGCAAATAGAAGTGCCGGGGTGCCATCCGCTGCGGCTTCACCACGGGCAGTAGACGGGTCCGTTTGACATTTTTTAGCTGTAGAGATTGCAATGCCAATGTGCTGTGTTACAAAACGCTATCATGAATGCCAATATGCTAATTATTGTTGCAGTTTTGATTGCGGGATCCATGTGCTCATGTACATTGATGGTTTTGAAAGAAAGGACATATATGGTCATGATAAGGTTAGTGCTTGCTTGATGTATCTTTTATTTTTTGCAAATCCCAGAAATACTTATTGTTTGCCTTAAAATACAGGAAATGGTTTGTATGTACCGGCAGAAAACTGCAGTTGACCTCATCTACAGCAAAGCAAATAGGGTGCGCCCAAATGTAGGCATGGCAGCTGGTGATTCCTCTTCCCTGGTAGTCTCCAGGTCTGCCCTGGAAAGTGTACAAGGAGAAGCTGTGCCAACTATCGGGTCTGCCCTGGAAAGTGTACAAGGGGAAGCTGTGCCAACTATCCCTGAACAACAAGAATTCACTTCCGAATCCTCCTCTGGGGCAGAAGATACTTCGCACAAGAGGAAGGCTGAAAAAGTAAGTGACTTTGAAAAGTCGGCTAAAAGGACAAGAGGAAAAGCGATATCAACTCTAAAAGTGGCTAGATACACAAAGGCGCCTGAAAAGATAAGCTCGAAGCTGTATGATCTCGTTTGCTCGGAGAAGTACAAGGAGTAAGTATTAGCTTCTAATACTCCTTGTATTTGTTTTGTGCAATTACTATATCTAATACAAGCAGCAAGACTTATTTCTTTTGTGCATCTAATACTCCTCGTATTGTAAATGACAGACATGAGATCATATCTATTGGAGGAATATCCATAACAGCAGCTTCCATGGCTGAATTCATCTCTGGTGGTGTGCTCAGCAGTTATATCCTACAGGTGAGGAAAATGGTAAAAAAGCCAGAATATTTTTAGCACCGCAGGACTATGTAAGTATTCTTTAACTCTCTGGTTATTATAAGTTTGTTGCTGGGGGCCTTGCCCCACGGTTTCGGTTCAAAAAAAAACTTGCTGTTTGTTTTGCACCAGGAAAAGGACCCAGAGAAATTTAAGGAAAATATTGCCAAGACGTTGCCTGCATCATTTTGGTCATCATTTGATATGGTAAAACCAGTCCATTTAAAACTTAAGTAAACCCTTTGATTTTCCCTATATCTTTTAATGCATGATATTTTTTTTCCAGATCTTCTTACCAATATTGCATGGAAATGATTGGATTGTCTACTGTGCGAGTAATTGTGTTTCAAATGTCGTGAGCTTCAGAGAACGAGAACATTGTGCTGAAACGAGGCAAGGCCAGCGCAAATCTGTTATGATGGCACTACAAACAGCTATATACGAAAGATATACAAAGAAACAAAGATTTGCTGAAAGGACTGTGGAATGTCCTGACTACGCAGAAGACCTGACTGATACTCCCCATAAAATTGGTTTACTGGCATTGCATTTTATGGAGTGCTTTACTGGTCTTCCCTTCGAGCCCTGCTTGGAGGGATACAGTACTGCAGTACTGGACTACCTTCTCTTCCATGGAAAAAACACCTCCGAGTTCCCAAAGACCTGCAGTGATGTTCTGGAAGACCTGTAATTGTTAACTTGATGGGCTGAACTTTCTGGATGAGATGACTGCGTGTGTGGTTTAATGTGTAATTGTTAACTTGATGGCCTGAACTAGTTTTCTGGATGAGATGACTGCTTGTGTGGTTTAATGTGTGGATGAGATGACTACCTTAATGTGTGGCACTTAAAACACTCACGTTGGTTTGATGTGTATCTTGCTCTTTAGCTAACTAATAAGTTGCTAATTTAGAAGCCGGCGGTACAACCCCCACCGAGGCACCTGAAAGAAAAGGTTCAATCTTTGATATGCCTAGAGTTGCTAAGAAAAGATACCTCGATGATTTGTTCCAACTCATTTTTAACACCTAATTAAACTAACTTAAGCTAACGTCATCTCTATAATTAGACACAAATCAGTTTGGTGCTAAAACATAAGGAAATAGGAGATAGATAACTAATTGTGTAAACCAAACAGTCACTTGAAATTATCATCAGAGTAGATCATGACAAATCAATTAAAATAAATGAGACTTGCTTTCTAGTTGAAACGTCTTCAAACATGATAGTGAACTCATTTTTAACTCGAGGAACAGACTCTTCTCACCATCATATGCAAAATATTTATTTGCAAGTTATCTTCATACTTTAAATTGAGCTGTAAAGGATAACACATTGATCATGAAGCTATAAGGATGAAAAATAAAGAAATAACACTGGACAAAGATTAGAGACCCACATAATAATGGTAACCATATAGGACAAGCATTTTGTACTGAGCCCCCTAAGGTTTTCATAAACTAACCTCCTTGGAGGGCTCCTCATCATCACTACTAGAAGATGATACCTTGGTGGACTTAGCCATGAAGCATGATGGATGGTCGAAGATGGAGGGCTTGTTGGAGATAGCAATACTAGCATGCCCCTTCTTGCTCTTGTAATCATCATCATCTTCATCACTTGAGGTAGCATCACTATCCCAAGTGGCCACATATGAATCACCTTTCTTTTTGAATGTGACCTTCTTCTCATTATTTTCCTTCTTGTCCTTGTAGTTCTTCTTCTTTGCATCATCATCATCATTGTCATTGTAAGGACAATCGGCTAGGAGGTGGTCCTCACTCTTGCACTTGAAGCACTTCCTTACAAAGCCTTTGCTCTTGAAGTTGTCCCTTCTCTTCCTTGAGCCATAGCCTTTCTTCTTCATGAACTTGCCAAATTTTCTCACAAACAACGCCATGGCCTCATCATCAAGGTCACTAGAGTCTTCATCAATCTTGGCCTTTCCTTTGCCCTTGGATGAACCACTAGCCTTGAAAGCAATGCTCTTCTTCCTGTCTTCCTTCTTCACATCTTGATCAACCCCCTCCCTTTCCACATGGTATGTCTCTTGAGTCATGACATCACCTAGTACTTGGTTAGGGGTTATGTCCTTCAATCCTCCTCTAATTATAATGAGCCTCAAAGTTTCAAATCTTGGTGGGAGGCACATCAAAAACCGATGTGAGAAATCATCATCCTTTATCTTCTCTCCCAATGCCTTGAGATCATTCACTATTACTTGTAGCCTATAGAACATCTCCGGGATGCTCTCATCTTCGTTCATCTTGAAGCTAGTTAACTTGTCCTCGAGGATGTATAATTTTGCACTTTTGACTTGAGGTGTTCCTTCATATGTTTCCTCCAATCTTGTCCAAACTTCATGTGCCATGTCAAGATCTTTTATTTGCTCAAACACATTTGAATCAATGGCATTATAGATTGTGTTGAGTGCCATTGTATTGCATTGCTTGTTCTCTTGCTCTCTAGGTGTTGGATTGGTGGGATCAAGAATTGCAAAACCATTCTCCGTCACATCCCACACCTTGTCATTGATTGAACCCAAATACATTTTCATCTTCCTCTTCCAATAATCAAAAGATGTGCCATCAAAGTGTGGTGGTTTGCCCCCAACATGGTTGAACACAATTTGAGCCATTTTGTGACACCGAGGTTGTTAAGCCTTCAATCAAACGGTGACCACGGCTCAGATACCATTTGAAAGGTCCTAAATGGCTAGAGGTGAGGTGAATAGCCTAATAAAAATTCTACAAATACACTAGAGCAAGTGGTTAGTATGACAAAAGGCGTAAACGCGTTTGCTCTAGCTCTAAATGTTGAGCAAGCCACCTATTAAACAATTCTAGTAAGCTATGATCTCTAGAGCACTCAAGCTATCTAGGTTGCTTGTCTAAACTAGATGATCAAGGAAGCTAGATGATAAACAACTAGATAGTCTATATGATAACGATGATTAAATTACTATCTACTCTAGTAATATAGCAAGTATGAACAAAGGTAATGACAAGGAGTTAGAGTTCGTTGCCACCACCGACGCAAGCACTAGAAGATGAGCAATAAAACCAATCACCAAGGGAGACAATGTGACACAAGGATTTTTCTCCCGAGGTTCACGTGCTTGCCGGCACGCTACTACCCGTTGTGTCGACCAACACTAGGTGATTCGGTGGCTAATCGGTATCACATCGAGCCTCTCAAAGGTACCATAAGAATCTACCACTAGTGAGGTAGCTCAATGACACGCGCAATGTATTAGAGGTGCTTTTGGCGCTCCGTCGGGGAATAAGCCCAAGAACCCCTCACAACGATGATCGATGTGGCCTTGAACAATCTCCACTCAAGCCAACACGCCTCCGCTGCACCAATGCCGTCTAGGAGCTCGGCAAAGCTCCAAGAATAACAAGAAAACCAGAGCAAATCAGCCACCAAGTGCCTCTAAATGCAATCACTCAAGCAAAGCACTTGGTTGTACTCAATCTCACTCAAGATTAGCAAGAATGCAATGAGAGATGAGTGGGAGAGGCTTGGGAGTGCTCACAAGTATGCAACAATGTTCAAAGTGTGCAAGAGAGCCAGCCAAGGGCCGGCCAACAAGTATTTATGAGCTCCCAAACCTCAGCCAACTGTTACTCACACAGATCGTGCGTCCGGACCGAGGTCCGGACCAAGTCACAGCGATCGTCCGGACCATCACATACTGGTCCGGTGCATGTCAGCCGTCCACGTGTCTCCTGCGTTCAACGTTGTTCGTTCGATTCCAACGGCTATCTCAACGGTGATCAACAGAAACCGTCCGGACCGGACCAGCTCGGTCCGTCTGGACCAACTCCACAGAGTCTGGTTAGTCTGCTCGCGTTCAGATAAATGTCTGGACCGGACCAACAGTGGACCGTCCGGACCATCAGACACCACGGTCCGGACGAGTCCAGAGAGCTCAAAAGCCGTCTGGACCCGGTCCGGTTGGATCGTCCGAACCAACACACCTGGTCCGGAGCACGCTCAGCTCGCCTGCTCGCTCTGCCACGCCATGTGTCATCGTCCAGACCGCCTGGAGATGGTCCGGACCAAAGTTCGGAGCACACTCCAGCGCGCCCGAGGCTAGGGTTAGGTACCAGACCACCCAGAGATGGTCCGGACCACCCGAAGCTAGCAGTCCAGAGCCTATTTCTCAGCTCAAATCAACTTCTTTCTTCTCCCCTTGCTTCCATGTGCTAACATATAAGTATTCCACTACTTGTGCACGTGTGTTAGCATTTTTCAAATCATTTTTCAAGGGTTAATTGGATTAGCTGACTAGGTTATATGCAAATGCAATCATGAATACACCTAGTGGCACTTGATAACCGTTTTGACCGAGATTCCCCCCTCTTGATAGTACGACTATCTATCCTAAATGTGATCGCACTCTCTATAGTGCCTTGATCACCAAAACAAGAATCCTATCATGTTATACCATTGCCTTGATCCTTGTTTTGTTTTTCTCTATCTTGTTTTCCTCTTTGGAGCACTTGATCACCATGATCATCACCATCATCATCATCTTGCTCCATCACTTGGCTTGGACAACCTTCACTTAACTACACACACTTAGTAGCAAGGTTAGTCAACTAGGTTTCATCAATTATGCAAAACCAAACTAGGGCTTTCAGGCAGAGGGAGAATCGAGAGGCGCGTACGTGCGGGTGGTTCTTGCGCCAGGCCTTGCGCTCCTCGGCGAGGCGGCCGCGGGCTATTTCCCCCGACATAGCTGCGGCGGCGGCGGCTGCGGCTGCTCTTCCTCAGCCTTCCTGAGCGGCAACGCTCGGGCGAGACAGAGTGTGCGCCCGAGCGGCGGGTTTCGCCCGAGGAGGCGGCGTTGGCTTTGGTGCCTTTGGGGAGGCGAGTGGCCACCGGCGGCGGCGGCGGCGTCGGTGAGAGCCCAAGTTTGGTTTTGGATAATTGATGAAACCTATTGGACTAACCTTGTATCTAAGTGTGTACATTAGTCAAGGTGGTCCATTCCAAGTGAGGAGCTAGATGTTGATCGTGGTGGAAGTGATGACCAAAAGATGGATCAAGTGACTCCCATTTGGAAAAGGAGAAAAACAAAAATGGATTCAAGGCAAAGGTATATTGATAGGAACCATTTTTGGTTTACACTCAAGACACCATAGAGGGTGTGAGTGACTTAGGATCGATAGCCGTACTATTAAGAGGAGAAAACGAGGTTAAAACGGTTATCAAGTGCCTCTAGGTCATTTCATTTGAGCATATGCATTAGGACCTAGTGAGCTAATTAAGCTAACCCTTGAAAGTGATTTGGAAAATGCTAAACACACGGGCACAAGTGATGGAACACATTGGTGTTAGCACATGAGATCAAGGGGAGAAGAAAGGAGGCGAAATCTGCTGAGAAAGGTGCTCCGGACTCTGGCTCCGGACCGAGGGTTCCAGGTGGTCTGGACCATTGGCTCTCAGTCCAGAAGCTAACCCTAGCCTCAGCAGAGTGATGTGTCAGCTGGACGTGATTCGGACTGGGGAGTTATAGTCCGGACGGTGCATCCGGACCAGAGTCCGGACGACCGGAGCTCTCTGGTCACTCTCTGTCTCACTCTGAGTAGCGTCCAAACTCGTGGAAATTGGTCCGGACGGTTGGTCCGGACCAGAGTCCGGACGGAATTCGCCCTCGGGGAGCTCTCTGAGTAAGTTTTC